TCTGCTATGTGACAGATTCCATGAACATACAGTGTCTCCAGAGTCTGTTCCTACAACTATAATGTAGTATATCATTTTATTATTGTCACTGCATACTGTGGATGATGGGACTACACAGTGTGTCATTTGTCAATAGAGTAGAAACTGTTAGTGACTTACCCATCCGTGTATTGTACTGCATTATCTATCTACCTCCCTTATAGTTCTGATCACATGACTAAGTTAATGGAAAAGGAATGACACATGCCTCTTCTAGGCATAGCCTTACAAGTCTCTGCATCACACATGATCTTTTCCAGTATAGAATTCTCAAGGCATCCCTTGAAAGCTGACTGTAATGATGACAACATGTATAACAAAGTATACAAAGTGCTCAAACTTTTTTCAATGTTCCTAACATCTAATAGTCACTGCTTCTTTACTAAAAAGAGACATAGCTAGTGAAAAATGTACTAATGTTACTTCTCCAGTGCTCTCAGAAAGCTGTGTGTGTGTGTGTGTGTGTGTGCCTATTGTTGAAATCTTTACTTAGTATAGAGTTGGTCTTCTGTGTATAAAGTTAATTGAAAATGAATCTTAATGGAGAATGGGACTGGGAATGGGAGAGAGAGAGAAAGAGGTGGGGTAGGAGTATGGGTGGAAGGGCGGGTATGGTGGGAAGAATCACTATATTCCTAAAGTTATCCTTATGAAATTTGTACTCCTCAAAAAGTTTCTTTGGGAAAAAATAAAATGTTTAAAAACTCTGAAAACAGTCCTTAACAGAGTAAATAAGTAAATTTTTCCAGAAAGAAACAAAAGAAAACTTAAACCTGGGAATCGGTTTACATATTTATGGGATGGTAAGTGCAAAGGAACAGGAACAATTATAGAAAAATAGATGTTGAAAAGAAATGCTAAATGATGTAACAAAGTAACAATAGTGGCAACTGGTATTTATGAAGTAAAGAGATTAACAAACAAACCAGATAGTTGTTTAAAGACAGAATACAAGGAAACTTCAAAATGTTCATGGGAAATGGAATTAAAAGACATTTGTTTTGGTATCAAAATGTTTTGAAATCCATGAGAAGTTTTTCATAATACGTATTTTCTGTGAACTTTTTGATGACACTTGGAGTTGAGATTGAAGCACAATACGTATTTTCCATAAACTTTTTGAAGAAACCTGTGTAACAGTCACTGGATATTGATTACTTAACTACTGATACCAGTTTCCTCAATTTAAATGGAAGAAAAAATGAGCAGTAATCAGGTAAATGCAAGCTAAAACTATAACATATGTGATCAAATATGTGCTGATGTTCAGAGAATAAAAGCCTGAGATTACTAAGTGCTGGCTAAGATCCCAAGCGGTGGAGACTCTCATACTTATGAGTGAGAATGCAAGGAGGTAATACTGCTCTAGAGAATAGTTTGAGAGCAGCTTAGTAATGTATGTCATTGGATGCAGTGACTCCACCTCTAGCTTTGTGTTCCACAGAAATGTTAGTGCACAGCAGAAATATACAGACATGTAATAATAAACAATACACAACAAGGAAAAATTCATCCCAAAGATCCATAATCCAGAGAATGGAAAAACTTGGTAAAATACATTTGCATACTAAATGAAACAATTAAAATACATGAATTGGAAAAAACATGGATATAGTTCAAAATCGCTGTTTTAAGAAAAAAGGTGAAATGTGCAAGGATACATTCAGTATGATAAATGTAAAGTCTGGAGCTTAAAATATGTAACTTTAAATCTGTATGGGTATAATTTTTATTTTATTTGAATGTCAGAGAGACAAATAGAGAGGGAGGAAACAATGAAGTTGAGAGAGGAAGAGGGTTGAGGGAAAGGGAGAGGGAGACAGAGAAGGAGAGGGAGAGGGAGAGAGAATCTTTCATCTGCTAGTTCACTTCCCATGTGGCCACAATAGCCAAAGCTAGACCAGGCCACAGTCAGGAGCCTGGAACTCCATCTGGGTCTCCTGTGTGGATGACCAACAGGTTGAGTTATACCTGCAGCCTCCCAAGGTGTGCATTAGCAGGAAAATGGATCAGAAACAGAACCAGAACTTGAAATCTGGAGGCCTGACATGAGCTGTGGGCTGCAAGCAAACTGCTGCACTAAACTTGTGCCCCTGTAGCAATGCATTCTTATATGGTAACAGTATAAATCATACATTTAATCAAACAATTTTGTATTTCTCATGTTAACATTATAAACTAACTCATTGAAAGTTTCCTCTACAGAAACAGTAAAGAAAAGAAATGAAATCTAGAATGGATGTACACAGACTTACAATGGTGGCTCTAACCGTGCTTCTTTTGTTTCTACTGAAATAAAATATGAGGAAGCTAGAACTTGGCCGTTAAGTGGTAGATACAAGTGTGCATTTTATTATTCTCCATACTTCTCTGTGTTCTACCATATCATAATTGGAAAAGGATACTTGGATGCCTGAGGTTATAGTTTCTTCTTAGTGAAGATCTGGGCATAATAATCAGAAGAAGGGAAGCAGAACTCCAGTGTGGACCTAAACACCCATGCAGAGAAAGACAAAGTATGCAGTTGTCATTTGCACAGTGAGGTCACAATGTCTCCCACAAACCCTATTAACAACTAACATTTTAAGCATTGAACAGATCCTTTGCTGAGTACCTTATGTGGATTACATCAGGTTAGGATAAAAACCCAAGTCAAAATCAATCTCTAAGGAGATTTAAAATGAATTATAATTGTCTGCATTACCAAAAGAGAATTCCAGTTGCAAAAGGCATTTGAAAGATGAATGATGTGCTTGGGGATAAAGTGAGGTCAGAGGGTAGATTCACCATTTTCTACTAGGAGTCAAATTTGTTTTCCATTTTAAACTGATTTAGATGGTGACCTTGTGTAAACAACCAGAAATCTTGAAAGTCATATTTGAATTGTGTTGATCATAGTAAAGGTGAGATGCAGAATTGTGTGAAAATGGACTGATAGGAAAGCAGTAACATATAGAATACTTCTGAAAAATGCTGACCCCCTTCAATGGATGTAGGAAGTCAGTATTGATAACAAGGCTCCTTTGTTGAGCACTTGCTATGTGTCAACCAGTGCTCTCTGGGCTCTGCAAACAGCCTATCCTTTAACTTTCACGGTGACCCTGAGAGATATGTGCTTAAGTTTTCTTCCTTTATGGAAGTGATCATGCAAGCACAAATTTTAAGTCATTTTTCCAGTCTCAAAAGGAACAAGGTTTTTTTTTTTCTTCTTTTTGTTGAATGCTTTACTTAGTGGAGGGTTAAGCTTATGATTATAAAATAAACCAAAAATATGTCATTGTAAAAATTGAAAGATAAAAAAGGAAGGAGGAGGGAGGGTGGGAGAGTGGGCTGGATTTGTTATTTTAAAGAGACAGGAGACCTCCCATCTGCTTGTTTGTTCCCCAAATGAGCAGAAACCAGGAGCCGAGAACTCAACTGAATCTCCCATGTGGGTGACAGAAACAAAGTCTTGTGAGTGATCACTGCTGCTCCCTAAGGTCTGCATTGGCCAGAAACTGGAGTCAGGGGCAATCTGATAATGGGATATGCACTTCTTTTTAAAATGCTTATCTGCTTAATTTCTTCTCTGCCTGCCTGCCTTAAAAATAAAGAATCTTATCTACTGATTCAATCCCCAAAATATCTGTAAAAGCTGGGGCTGGGGAAAGTTGAAACCAGGAAACTTGTAACTCTACCTTGGTAGTCACCTGGATAGCAGAAACTCATCATCTGCTGTCTCCCAGGATGCATTAGCAGGAAACTGAATCAGAAGCAGAGGAGCTTGGACTCTACCCCAAGCACCCCAAGATGGAAAGTGACATTCTAAGCAGTCGGTTAACCAGCCACACAAGGACTGCCCCTGGATATGGGTATCTTAACTACTATCTTAATCATCAGGGAAAATGTCTGCTCCTTGAGAGAAATATCTTCTAGAAACTTCTACCTCATGTTTATACCTTGGATGGTGGGTCCACAATGGAAAAAAGAAAAAAGATCAAGATAGACCAATGCATCCGTCCAAATTAGTACCTCAGAGATAAGCTTAAAAACAGCAAGGTGCTCTGAACAATAGTAGCTTTGACTGCGCATAAATATGCAGTAGCTTTAAAATGTGCAGAGCGTAATCTAATCTAATCTGTGCCTAAGCATCCACCATTGTATGTTTAGAAGCCAATTTTGAACCAGCAAATGGAAGAAATCTCTCTTGCTCTCTCTCTCTCTCTGACTCTAAAATAAATAAATCTTTCGAAAAAGAATTGTATCTATCAATCTATAAATTCATATGAATACATGAAATCTGTTCTGTTAATAAAATATTGAACATATGTCTCTATTTCACCTAACATTAACTCAGTCATGTGTTCATACTTTTGTCTACAGAGTACATTCTGAGATCCTTTCAGAATCATTAGAAGAGAGATGAGCTCCAGCTAAGTAATGGAAAATTGATTGTAATTATGAAATTAATATAGAATAAGACATTTCCCATGTGATTTTGCTTTATTTTGCCATATAAATACAATATGTGGTGCTGCAGACTATAGCAGCCTACTGCCCATGGATGAGTGACACTCTCCTGACACATTCACCTGTTATTCCCATGTGACAAATGAATGGCACATTTTGTGAGGTTTTTCCAGGTAGATAAAGAATTTGGATCCATGAAGAATCTGAATATGTACCCTGTAAAAAAGGATTAAAATCATAACTTTTGTTGTACAGCTCCTTGATCATGTGGTTTTCCTTTAAATAACCTAAGTTAGTGATTGGACAAGATCTTACATTATTTCCCATTAACAGGACACTGCATGACCAAACTTGACTGCCTCTTCAAGTTGCAGAAAGGATCAGAGCCAGGGATGATGCAAGTAAACCCAAATGAGAGCCTCTCAGGTCATCCAGCACATACTGGGCAGGAGGCCATGCCAGAAAGAATGAAGCAGATGTTGACTAGAGCTCTTTTCAATAATTTTCCCTAGGTCTCTGCCATGAGGACTCACTGGTTTCCTGCATCAGGTACAGGCCTTCTGCAGTCTCCAGGAAGGGCTTTCATGGGGTTAGCCTTCCACCGTTTCTGCTGTTGGTGAATATGTTTTTGATTTTAAAATTTCAATCCCTTTCTGTTTCCTAAGGCTTTTATCTAGTTCATTTACATTTCCTAAATTCTAACTTACTTTGTTCTCTCTTATACTGTTTTCCTTCATTCATTCTTCTTGTATTTGTTCTTTTAATACTTGTTAATTGGGAATCTCATATTTGCCGGTTTCTTACTAGTTGCCCAGATTGAGTTCCCACTCCCCGTTTTAGCTGGACACAAAATTGGCTGTTGCAATTATTCCAGGTCTGAATCAATCAATTGGAGATCTCCCTTTGACCCTCTTCTCTCTTTTGCTTTCTCCACAATAAATTAAATATATATATATATATATATATATATATGAGCTGCTTCAAGCATCTGAGGAGTGAGTGGAGGGGAAGTCTGTCTCTTTGCCTAATCCTTGTTCTGTCTGTCAAGTAAATAAGGAAGTGACACAAGATGTTCAAGAGCAACACGCTGTGCTTGTGACATCAGAATTATTTTTTCTTATGTATTTGACAGGTAGAGTTATAGACAGAGAGAGACAGAGAGAAAGGTCTTCCTTCCGTTGGTTCTCTCCCCAAGTGGCCACTACGGTCGGCACTGTGCATATCCGGAGCCAGGAGCTTCTTCTGGGTCGCCCATGTGGGTGTAGGGGCCCAAGGACTTGGGCCATCCTCCACTGCACTCCCGGGCCACAGCAGAGAGCTGGACTGGAAGAGGAGCAACTGGGACTAGAACCCAGTGCCCATATGGGATGCCAGCACTGCAGGCGGAGGATTAACCAAGTGACCCATGGCACCAGCCCCAGCAGCAGAATTATAAAGCTAAGCAGAACGTAGCATAAGGACATGAAAATAGGTGGTCCTAGACTCACCAAGAGAATCAGGAGATTCCGCATCCTAACATGGCTTCATGTTAGATGGTTTGGATTTGGTTGAGAGTGGAGTTTGAAGTTCGAATTCTCCTTTTTTAAACATAATTGAAAACCACAAAAAGACAATTGCATAGGAAACTCTGTTTTATGTGCAAATAGGAGAAAACTGACCTCCAACCCAGAAATCCAACACTTTCAGAAAGTTGAAGTATCAAGCAAGGGTGTTTACACACGAAGAGTGGAGAGGAGAAATCTGGGACTTTTGATCCCAGGATGAGCTAAAACACACTTCTCAAAGAAAGTGAACGCACTGTGGGTTGCAGGAGTAAATCCCATAACCTGATAGGGAGAAACATTGTGTACTGGTACTTTCTTTCCTTTTCTGTACCTGTTATTGTCTGAGGAACTGAAGAGGTCAGGTTTCCTTAGGAATATGGGGAAAACTGCTTTTTTTATTTGAAAACTCCACCAATACAATTCCCTTGGGAAGACTGACGATGCGACAACCATAGCATCAAATCATGTTCTAAAAATGCCCTGCTTAGGGGACGGACATATGTCCCTCCCATCTACCTATGAGTAAATGATCCCATGCAACCTTCCCATTGTTAAAACAAAAACACAAAACAAAGTCTTTATGAGAAAAATAGAGAAAAGGGACAGGGACAACAAATGACTACTAGAAAGGACTCACAATTTTACTCCAGCAAGACAATGAGACCAATATTTTTACTAAATATTTCACCATTGTTTAAAATAATACAGTTTTCATCTTGGAAGGCAGAGTGACAGTGGCACAGGGAGACAGAGAGAGATCTTCTATTCACTAGCTCACTCTCTAATGCCTGAAGCAGGACTGGACCAGGCAAAACCCAAAAGCTTCAATCTCTACTCCAGACTGTGCCAGGAGCTCAGGCACTTGAACCATTATCTGTTGTCACCTAGGATACATTGGCAGAAAGCTGTATTGGAAGCAGTGTAGTCAGGACTCAAGTTGGGATTGGTATGTGATGCAGGCATCCCAAGCATGGCTTACCCCACCTTACACCTCTATCACACTCAGGAGAACATTTAAGGTTTTAAAAAGTGATTGATCTGGCCTGCACCGTGGCTCAATAGGCTAATCCTCTACCTGCGGCACCGGCACACCGGGTTCTAGTCCCGGTCGGGGCGCCGGATTCTGTCCCGGTTGCCCCTCTTCTAGGCCAGCTCTCTGCTGTGGCCCGGGAGTGCAGTGGAGGATGGCCCAAGTGCTTGGGCCCTGCACCTGCATGGGAGACCAGGAGAAGCACCTGGCTCCTGCCTTCAGATCAGTGCTGTGCGCCAGCTGCAGCACACTGGCTGCAGCGGCCATTGGAGGGTGAACCAATGGTAAAAGGAAGACCTTTCTCTCTCTCTCTCTCTGTCCACTCTGCCTGTCAAAAAAAATTGATCATTTGGAAATCTTTTCCTACAATTTATTATATTAATCTATGAAGGAGAAAAACTGGAAAATGTTCAAGAATGACTATCTTTTACTGATAAGTTAGAATTGTTTTTAAAATATTTATTGATTTGAAAGAGCTACAGAGAGAGAGGGACAGACACAGCACACAAAGAGATTTTCCATCCACTCCCCAGATGGCTCCAATAGCCAGTGCTGGACCATGCTATAGTCAGGAGCCAGGAGTTCCATCTGGGACTCCCTTATAGTTGGCAGGGGCCCAAGCACTTTGATCATCTACTGATACCTTTCCCAGGTCATTAGCAGTGAGCTGGATCAGAAGTGGACCAGCTGGAATATGAACTGGCACCCATATTGTAGCTTTACCAACTATGCCACAATGCCATCCCCAGATACGTTAAATCTTATGAAACTAGGTTAACAAATATCTCCATTGTCTTTATAGGAACATTCCAGAAGAAATACTTCAATGTGGCTCATGGAAATGGTGAAGTTTTTCTCATCTCAGTTGCCCAGAAAAAGGATGACTTGATTGGGACCCAACAGGAAATCAAGACATTAATTTAAGACAAGATATAATAGCAAACAGCAGCACATCAACTCATAAGAGAGTTGAATTAAGAAAAAACAATTTAACAATGTAAGCTCAAACTGTATAACAAAACTAATATCAAAAAGGGAAATTGTTCAAGAAAGAAACCTGATGTGTATTTCACAATGCACATCTCCATAGTTGCACCTGATGAGAGGCAGCCTTTACATAAAAATTCATATCTTAGTAAGCATCAGCAAACCCACACAGGAGATAAACTCTATGGGTCTAATGAATATGAGGAATCTCGTGTACAAATCAGATCTTGCAGGAAATCAAAGAACACAGGCAAGGGAAAAAATACTTCCATAAACTCATTGGAAATCTTCCAGCTGTAAATCCTGCCATTCATCACAAAACTCACAAGGGAAAAACCCCATGTGTATGAATGTGGAAGAAGCACTTAAATGAAACAGACCTTATTAAAAATCAAAGAATTCATACAGCAGAAACTTCATGAATGTAACAAATGTGGAAAAGTTTTTTGCACTATATCAATCCTCAATACTACATGGAAAATTCACATGGGGAGAAATCTTATGGATATAGTGAATATGGAAAAGCCTTTTGGCATAGGTAAATCCTCATTACACATTAGAGAATTTCTTGAGAAGCAATGTAATGAATATGGAAAATCATTTTCCTGAAATCCAAGCCTCAAGAAGCATAGAACACACAAAGAAGAGAAACCTTTTCTATGCAGTCAATGTGAAAAAAACAAATCTTTTGCCAGAAGTTAGACTTCAGTAGATAACAGAGAAGGCACACAAAGTGTAATAAAAACCTTATCTATGAAAAAAGAATGTGAAAAATATGTTTGCCTGAAGTCAATCTTCAGCACACAATAAGGGAATAAAGGGATGAGAAAACATGCACATATATGAGAACCTTCTACCCTAAGACATCTCTCACTACTGGAGAAGTGAGCAATGAAAAACCCTTTAAATGTAGTGGAAGTAGAGAAACCTTTATTATAAGGCAAACTTCAAAAATGTCAGCAAAATTGCAGAGAGTAAACACAGAAAATGTAATGTGGGTGGGAAAATCCTTTGCTGAAATCACATCCCAGCAACTGGTGGGAAACAGTTGACAGACATTGGCTGTATGTTCTTCAAAATCTGCATTTTCTCTTTGACAAACAATCTGCATTTTACTTCCCATTATTTTGAGTGGGACCACGTAGATGTGCTCTGTTTCCACAAATTTTCTTAACTATTCAATCTACAACACTTATTTGAAATACCGTATTCCTTGATTGCCATGCTACTTGGAGGAGTAGTTTTGATGTGTGCCCATGACTCCTTTCCCGACTTATTTTAGTAATAGCCATTGGCATGACCACAGACATGCCACTTAACTCATACATCAGCCATAATGCTCTGCCCCAAGAAATCTGAAAGCCCTTCCACAGAATTTCAAAACTCTACTATAAATCCTTTTACATAGTTTTTAAAAACTCCTTTGAACTGCTAATCATTTTCGAATTTATGTGGCTTGTAAGATAGTGGATTTTCATGGTATGTTGCACCCAAAATGAGAAAAGGTACAAAATGGTGAAGGAAAAAAATTGCAGTTTCAAGTTTAGCAAAGATAAAAATTTATAAATTTAAGAAGCTCAGAAGATCCCACACAGAATCAGCTAAAATAAAACCATGCTTTGCACATTAGAATCAAATTACTGCAGTCAGACATAGAGAAATTCCAGAAATCACTGACAGAAAAATGAAAAGGCACATATAGATGCTCAATATGGAATGAAAAGACTAGTCATCAGAAAACATGGAGCTCAAAAGACAGTGTAATATCTGTATTCTGTAGAAAGCAAAATATTATCTGAAACACTTTCCTATATTCAAAAAACTATTTCAAGAGTGAAGTTGAGATATAGACACTTTCAGATAAAAGACAATTAGACAATCTCTTGGCACCAGAGCTTTACTACAGAAAATGGTAAATTTCTGTAATAAAAGAGCATTGCAGGGAAAATCAAATTTTTAGGTATGCATGAATAACATTAGATACTTTACGTAAATTATAACTGAATAACTTGAAAAATTCCAAGGTTATTTAAACTTCTAAAGGCAGGCATTTTCCATGACTGAAACTGAAGCAGGCAGAGAAGGCTGTTCCTCCTCACAGGAAAACTAGATTCTCACCTCATTCAGGCAGTTCCTCTGGTCATTGAAAACTGCTCATAAAATTTGCCTGGCTACAAATATTTGCTGGGAAATACCTTTTGTGGGCAACCCCTTTTTCCACTGAAAAGCCTGTTTTGTATGCTCTAGAGTGGATGGAAAGGACACAGTCACTTAGAATCTGTGATATTCTGATCACTGCTATGAACACTGTGGCTAAGGCACCACAAATTCAGAATCTAATCTGATCCACCTGAAAGCTGTTCTCCCCAACAGCATAGAAAAAAATGAGCAGACACATATGGATCTCTTAAAAGCTTCCTATCCTCAAGCTCAATTCAATCCCAACAAAGTCCTTGTATTGGATGTAACAGGAGTAGATCTTGTCCCCTAAAGGGAGTATTACAGGAGTAAACAGTGGACTGGAACGTGAATAGTATATGACAGTACTAATAACAGCGTTCAATTTCTGGGTGAGGAACGTATGGTGGTTATACAAGAATCTATCTTGACTTTTACAAATATCTGGGTATTCAAGGAGAAAGGGGCACAGTGCAGGTAACTGCCTTCAGAAAGACGCACACACAGACACATAGGAAATGTTGCTGATGTTCTTTGTGATAATTTGTAGGGGAATACTTTGTGGGCCATCCTTCTTTTTGGTTAGACTGATGGACCTTTGAAGGAAATGATGCCATCTCTCCTTGAACTCGGAAGAGAATGTGGCCTCAAAATTCAACATGTGCCATCCCAAGAGAAAGGAGCACTTGGAATGGGTGTTGCCTTCCCCCACATTGTCTACAACACATTCCATCCCAGGGCACTCAGGGCTATAGCTGATCTCAAAAGTCATCTTCTGTGGAATTAGGTACAAGCAACGTATTGCTTTAAAGAAATGCCTGGTGTTCTTTGTCCTCCAGCCACTCTGTTTCACTGGGCAATGGATCAAGAGTGGATGCTGGACATGCTGCAGTGATGTGGGTTTTTCCTTTTATTTTGCCTGTCAGTCTCATGAGCTTAGCTGCCACCCACAGGGCACTCAGTGCTTTTTCAAATTTGATCTTCAAAGTTCTCTTATATTTGGAATTGGATATGAGTAAAACTGGACCATAGAGGAATTGCTGGTGCTCGTTGGCCTCTAGCCACTTTGAGTTTGACTGGGAAATGGCTCACATCTTGCCTGTCTCCTGAGCTCAACTGTCCCTGGTATTTGATTCTTAAGACAAACTATACAGAAAGGATAGGATGAAGTCTCTGTCTCTTGTTTCCTGTTATTCACTGGTGAGTCATCTGATGATGGAATAGAAAGGTGATTGCTGTCTCCCTGTTTTTGCCTTCCCATTTGGGTGGGCTTCTCTAATGACACTGGGGAAAAGCTCTCAAAGTCCAAGTGTGTTTCAGTGTTTTCAGGACTTGATATCTGATCTCAATGAGTTCAACTGGAACAAGTTTTCACTTCCTTATCTTGCTACTTAACATTCTCCATTAAGAGAAGTAGCCATAATCATTTTGGGGGTAGAATGAGTGAAGATCTATATTCTGCATTTTCTTCAAGTTAGCATATGGTGTAGGGCTGTTTGTGGGTATTCTCTTGCTGTCAGTCCTATGGCGTTCAGAGGTGGACTGGGAAAAGATTGTCTCCTGTGGCCCAGAGGACTGGTCACATCATCTAATAGCATAGGCTGGAAGCCATGCCTCATGACCATCTGGAGATGGATAGCATGCGTTTGATATTTTTCACTGCTCTGCCTCTGCTTGCCACCTGCTTCTTCCCACAGTGGGTTGGTGCAAAAAGCTGGAGTCAGACCCACAGCTGGAGCAAAGCCACTGGCAAGCTTGATGCAAACACAGGAGGCCAGTAGCCGAGTCACCATCTCATTTTCACTTTAACACATGCATTAGCCTGGACTGGCTTCCCCTCAGCATATTAAACGCAATTCAACTTTGTTTTCGCTTGTAATGGTATTAAGTAAGTCAACTAACTCTTTAGGAAACAACCTGCTTTTTATGATTGGATATTAAAAAAATTGTGTCAAACATGTACCAGTTTAATTATTTCCTGTCTAGAATGTTATTGACCTTTCTTGGATTTTCTGGGCTTTAGAATTTTGTGAGTTGTCTATGGCATTGTTGGTAAACCATCTTTTTAAAATATTAGCTTTTAATTTTCTTTTGTATTTTTTTGACTCTAATTAAATGTATTATACACTTCAAACAGTGTCCTCATTCACGTTCTTTCACAAGTGTTATTTCTTCATGGTTTGTGTTGATATGAGTAATAACTTCAACTCTGCATTTTAGATCCCTAATCCATTTTTCAATTGTGTCTAATATGTCCACCAATCAATTATTTTATTCTCAGTGATACTTTTCATTTTTGTTAAGGCTTACTTGGTGTTTTTCAATGAATTGGTAATTATAAAAATTATATGTCCTTTTCATATATTTGACACTTCATTTTTTTCTGTCTTTAAACTGAACAACTGTAGTTATATGTTGGATGCTACATCCCACATCCAAGTCTTGCTGAATCTGTTCCCAATATAGTCACTGTGGGAATCACCTTAGCCCCATGCAGAAGCAGCTTGCTTCTTTGTAGCTTTATTTGTGAGAAGCTTTGTGGGCCTGAGATGAAGATCAATTCCTCAGAAGTAATTCTGACTGGCACCTGGCCATGCACTTGGCGCTAGACCGCGGGGGGATTTGTGATCACCCACCTACTACCAAGCCCAGGAGAGTGTGAGAGTGAGTCAGTTTACTGTTCCACATCACTCTGAGTGGGAGGAATGGGTCCATCACCCACTGCAACAAAGTCATAGCCACTAAACTCACCATAAAGAAAGCAGAGCCATTAAGGGCTTATTGTGAGTACTGACTTCCCATCTTGGTCATTCACAAAGGCCATCTGTAGAGCCACTGCATTTCTCTCTGGACTTCCATGCCCAAGTCCTCTGGCCTCATAACTCCTTTTCTTGCCAGTTCATGGATGTCCCTAGCAATGCCAACATTCAGATGGACATACAAACACATGCACATATGTTCACAAGTAGAGGTATGCAAGCATACATACACATGCAAACAATGCAGACACACACATGTGTGCATGCACATACACCCAGAGGAATGCAAAATGTTCATCTGTTTTCAGAACTTTGACCAACCCCTAGTAACTGACCTGCCTTATGACGAAAGTCTGTGGCCTCCAGGTTCATTTACCTATTTTTTTCCTTTCTCTCTGTTTTTAATTAATACCATCTATTTTTTTTTTTTTTAGGTCTTCCTTTGCCGTTGTTTCACCCTCCAATGGCCGCTGCAGCCGGCGTGCTGCGGCCGGCGCACCGCGCTGATCCAGTGGCAGGAGCCAGGAGCCAGGTGCTTTTCCTGGTCTCCCATGGGGTGCAGGGCCCAAGCACCTGGGCCATCCTCCACTGCACTCCCTGGCCACAACAGAGAGCTGGCCTGGAAGAGGGGCAACCGGGACAGAATCCGGCGCCCCAACCGGGACTAGAACCCGGTGTGCCGGCGCCGCTAGGCGGAGGATTAGCCTAGTGAGCCGCGCCGGCCCTAATTAATACCATCTATGTTTTATGATTCTTGAAATTCACTTTAAATCTGCCATCATTTAAAAAATGTAATATCGGGCGGCTGGCACTGTGGCTAACTTGGCTAATCCTCCGCCTATGGCGCTGGCACCCCAGGTTCTAGTCCCGGTTGGGGCACCGGGTACTAGTCCCAGTTGCTCCTCTTCCAGTCCAGCTCTCTGCTATGGCCCAGGAGGGCAGTGGAGGATGGCTCGAGTGCTTGGGTCCCTGCACCCGCATGGGAGACCAGGAGAAGTACCTGGCTCCTGGCTTCAGATCAGTGCAGCACCGGCCATGGCAGCCATTAGGGGAGTGAACCAACAGAAGGAAGACCTTTCTCTCTGTCTCTCTCACTGTCTGTAACTCTCTCTCTGTCTTGCTCTCTCACTGTCTAACTCTGCCTGTCAAAAAATTAAAAAAATTATATAATGTCTCTATTATCCCCTATCTGCCTTCTGCAGGCAGGTGTGCCTGATGGCCTTGGCATGCTGAAGAACTCATGATGCTTCACAAGTGCTCAAGTCTCATGTCAGACTCAATCCCGTCTCATCTCTGTCGCTCCCCCACTTGCGGAGGAATGACACTGGACGCTGTTTTCTTTCCCCAGTCCTTCCCAGATTTGCTGCCACTCCCCCGCCTCTGCGACTCTCTCAGGGGGGCCGCACATGTTGTCTCTCTCCCTCTTTTAAAGTCCTCTCCCACCAATCCATGCTCTGCTGCCCACATGCTGAACACGCCACTTTCTTCCAAACAGGGGTTGGGTCAGGAATCAGCTAATTAACGAAGCAGCTGTGTAAGATTTGTTTACTCTCTCTCGGTGCCATATGGTGGGAAATCAGACGCATAGAGTTAGTTTCAGTCCACAGTCTCAGTACTTATTTGTCTCCCAGGCGCCCCGCCATGTTGCGGGAGACTGACTCTGCTCCCCATAATCTCCTCCAGCCAGAAGAGGTAGCAGGAGTGATCAGATAGCAGATCACAGTTCAGGCCACGTGCACTCAACTGCCCTGCCATGGTGAGACTGGAAGTTGCAAGCTGCTTTGCATCCAAGCATCTGATGTCAAAGCTCTCCAGCATAGCAGTGAGTGCTTCCAAGATTCCAAGTCTCCTAGTTTCTATTATATTCTGTGAATCACCCCACATCGTTCTGTTTTAGTCAGTTACTTTTTTGCAGAGAATAAGGATAGGTTAGAGTAAGGAGTTTTTTATGTTTTCAGCAAACATGTTAGAATTGAGGGTATCCATAAATTTTGAAAGTTCCTAGATGAGCAAAATTGGGAAAGGTCATCATTAGCAAAGACATTGAGGTAAGTATAAAATAATCAGACTATGATGTATACAGTGTCTTCTGTGTAGAAAATAGTAAACCTAAATCAAATTTTTCATAGGTCATTTGCAATGTGCTACTTCTGAAGATGGACCCAATGAGAAACATTCTGAGGTCACTACTTGCATTCAGAGACAAGTACATGACAAACATCCTAGCCTCCCCTTTCCACTGGTGATTGTTCATTTGTGTTTTTAAAAATATTTTACTCTTTAGAGAATCAGTTAGATGTATCTCAACATGCTGAAAACTGCAAAATATACTTTACCTAAAGCTAAGCCTTCACTTTTAGTTCTGTTTTCTTGAATGTACTGTTTTGTTTCTTGTTCATGACTATGTAAATGACTTTGTAGAATCTATAGAAATACAAGAAACAGAATATGTAATATCTGTTATCCTGCTAAATGGTCCAATGTATCAACGAGAGTTCATGATAGCATTGGGATAGGGGCAATCACTTCACCACACCAAGTCCTATATATTCATTTGTAATGCAATGACAAGAATGTTGATATTCTCTCTGGCACCTATATCAGTGTAGAGACAAGATGTGCTCAGCCTAAGAGGGAAGGGAACAGACTCAGTGGACTAAGCTGTGGAACCTGGGGGAGGCCTTATTAAGTTAGCCCTGGGAGGAAACAGATCAAGGGAAATGGTCAGGGCTCCTGATGGGATAATCAGTTGAGGAAGAGATAAAGTTGGGTCACTCTAACATCAAACACTCAAATCAAGGATTCAACCTTCAAAATCCTAAGCCAAAAACTCTTGGTATAAAGGATGCATGAGCAACTTTCAAATATTTTGGTGGACAGATTTATTAACCAATAATAAATTATCTGTTGCATAAATTCAACCATGTTGATAGCTTATTGTTTTGCTTCATGACATGGCATGTTAGATTAGACATAGCATTGGGCTGTACCTGATCAGTCTCTGTGTGCGATTCACACAAAAAAGAGTTTGGCACAAACAATGGGAAGAAAATGGGCTAAGCACATGAGCAAATGTTTCACCTAATTAACTCATGATGCAATTGATGTGGTCAGCATCAGCAAAAATGAGGGGAATACTGGAAGAGACACAGTGAAATCTACCACATGAACTGCTCAATGAACAACTTCAAGGGTTAGGATATGAATCAACAGGACTTGTAAGACGTTGTGGGAATATGAACTGTGAAATCCCTCTAAAAAACAATTGGGCCTTATTTGCCGTACCTGAGTTTTCATATACTCAGAAACAGTTCCACGGGGAACAGACCTTGGAAAAACATGTGCACACCCACCAACTCTGACAATAGGAACAGACCCAGGAGAAACCTTGCTCAACAGAAAATGTAAGGCACAGACAAGAGCCAGGCCACACCCCAACCCATGAAAAGCCAGGGATGAGGGCACAGCTTCCTGAATGTGGATGGAAGACTTGGGCATCCCTGATGCTCCACAACATGCCCTAGATTCGGAGAGTGGTTGGGGGTGTGGATGGGAAACACACTGAGCTTCACCTGAAAACACATTCTGTTAGGGAAAACCCAGGCCTGAGTCAACATTGGCTCCAGGACTGCTGAAGGGCTGAGGAGTAAGGAAAGGAAGATCGACATATGGGCAGGCCTAGCCCTGCCTGCCCTGGCATCAGTGGGATACCACCACTTCCAGATCCCTATTGGCCCCCTAAATAATGGTTGCAGCCAGGTTTGGAACAAGATGGCAGCTCTTGTATATTCTTCAGGCCAAGACTTCTATGACTGTCCTAGAGGCTGAGGGAAAATCCAGGAGGAGAGGTGGGAAAGGTGGACATGCTGGGCTCTCAAGCCATTCCCCATCTGTGGATGTCAAGAAGAAAATGAGAGGCCAGCGCTGTGGCTCAGCAGGTTAACGCCCTGGCCTGAAGTGCCGGCATCCTATATGGGTGCCAGTTCTAATCCTGGCTGCTCCTCTTCCGATCCAGTTCTCTGCTATGGCCTGGGAAAGCAGTAGAAGATGGCCCACCCACATCTGCACCCAAGTAGGAGACCCGGAAGAAGCTCCTGGCTCCTGGCTCCTGGCTCTTGGCTTCGGATCAGCGCAGTTCCAGCCGTTTGCAGCCAATTGGGGAGTGAAACATTGGATGGAAGACCTCTCTCTCTGCCTCTCCTCTCTCTGTGTACTCTGACTTTCACATAAATAAATCTTTAAAAAAGAAGAAAATGAAGGCCCTGACTATTGATGGAGAGAATCAAGGCCACCCAGTCCTTGCAGCAATGTCAAGGACGACAAAGACAGGACTCAGTTCTAGCACTTTGGAAACTCCCCATCTCCTGCTTTATGAAGTCTGGGCCTTTCAAGAGCAAGCTGCTGCCCCGGGCCTTCAGGTGAGACTTCAGGCCCAACAAGAGTTCTGGCTGCCATTGGACAAAGCAAATATGATAGCCCCAGATGGCAGGCTCTCAGGCTGAGGGCATGCTGCAAGCTACAAGCGCACAGGGCCTGCTCAAAGCCAATCTCCACCCTGAGCCCTGGTGGCAGGATCAATTGTCAGCAA